TTATTGCAATAAATGTGCCTATAAAGGCGCGGGCTCCAGGGCGCGGTGGGGCTGGGGTTGGGGGGGGAGCCGCGGAGCCGGGATGTAATTTCCCATAGCCGGAGCCGGAGGGGGAGTGGGCGGGGTGGAGGTGGAGGAGGGGCAGGCGGGGGAGAACTGGAGACTCGCCAATTTCCAGCGCTCAAGGCCGCACTCCCTGCTCCCTGTCCCCTTAAGCTGGAACCATCATGACCTGGCCCCCCTCTCTGTTACCCTGTCCCCCTTGCCCACACCTACTTTGAGGTACAGGGGTTCTGTCCAAAGTTCCCTAGCTACTCGCTGACACCTGTGAGGACCCCTCCCATTTACCTGCTGGATTATGTCTCCCCTTCCTAATTACTGGTCCCTGACCCCAGTGACCCATCTTTGTCTTGCTTCTGGTCTCATTATCCAACCTCTTCACCAGTTGTCCCCCAAGATCTCTATCTAGCGCCTCACCCACCCCAACCATGACCCTCTGAATATTCTCCTTTCCAACATCGCCCCTCCCATTCAGGATGTGGGGCTTGGCTGCAAGCTCTGGCCCAAGGGAACTGTCACTATAGACCCCTCCCCTGTGTTCCTGGCCCAGCTGCGGCCCCTGATTACCCCCAAATCCCTCCAGAAACTCTGGGCCCTAGCCCAGGCTGTTCGTGCCTAAGTGGCCCAGCCAGAGATTAGCTGGGGGGCTTGAGGAGGGTAAGGAGGTGGGAGGCATTGGCTGGAACAGGGGTTGTGGCTGAGAGACTTGCTTGGGCCTAATCCTTCCCTAAGGCAGACTAGAGCTGATAGGTCCCAGAGGGCCTCCACCCCTGCCCTCCCCCAGCTAATTAGTAATTAGTGATCAGTGATTAGTGACTATTGATCGCCTGCTGTTTCTCCCAGTAGGCAGCTGCTTTGGCCAGTGGTGGGGAAGGTAGACACAGATAGGGAAAGGAGTTGGGGACTGTATTGGGAGATCTTGAAGCAGCCAGGCCAGTCAGGAGGCCAGAGCCCCAGGAACAGTGGAATTTATGAGACCAGGCCCTGAGAGCAATACCAGGAGCCTGGAACCAGGAAGAAGGAGGCAGCGAACTCCTGGGAGTACACAAGGCTGGCAGCATTTGATGGTCAAGATTTCCCAAAGAGCTGTGCTGTAAACTGTCTCTCTACCTGTCTCTGACCCCAGTGTCAGTCTCATCTTTTGACCACTCCCAACACTGGCACCAAGATATCCCTAAAGACACACACCCACTCACACCCACAGACATTCAGATATATGGACACATCGCCAGGATCACAACCCCATGCCCACACTCAACTGCACTCCAAACTATGAGCACATATGTGCACACTCATAACCCCAGACTCTTATGTAGAAAACACATGTGCCTCAGCATACAAATATACTGGAGACCCTGGAACCTATACATGTGCACGTTTGACTCAGAAATGCATACAAGAACATATAGATGGGTATTTGGACAAATACTTCCCGTCACACAATTCCCCACGCACAGTTATATATTTGCACACCCACAGTGTACACGCATACTACATATAAACACAGGCTGGACCAAATGGCAGATACGCACTTCCCTGCTGATTCCAACAGGATGCCCCACAGCTGCAGCTCTCTCACACATTCAGATGATCCCATCACTCATATCCTCATGCTTACACTCCCTCAAGTCTCTGCCAGATGTTTCATTCCCCTTCAGGGGGCAAAAGAAATTAAACCAGATCTGTCCACAGGGGAGTTTATGTGGTAGGGAAGAGTGGAGAAGAGAGGGAGGAGGAAGTGGGAAGGAGGACCAGGGCAATGGCAGCAGCCTTCCCTCCTTTTGACCCCAGGCCTTGACACACCATGGCTTGGGGCCTGGCCCTCTCAGTCCTCTCAGTATAAAACCAGACAGCAAGTCCAAGTGAAGCTCCTGCCAGAGACAGTTTTATACAGGGGGCTTCTCAGCTCAGCTTCCAGCCACTCAAGGTCACCAGGCAGGTCTGGAAGAATCAGGAAGCTTTATCTATCACTAGCTGGTGGAGGCAGGATAGCTCCTGTAGTTTCAGAGGATAACTGGGCTGGGCCGAGGGGATCCAAGTGATTTGGAGAATTACCCCTTCTGAAATATCTCAGGGGTTGGGGATTGGGGTCCAAGAGTGAAAGCTTGTGGAGCCACCTGCTTGGCCCTAAACTAGGTAGGTTACAGTTATGATTGGGCAAGAGAGGCTGAGAGAAGGAGTTGAGGGCCAAAGCCTAGACCCCTCATTGTGGAACACATACCAGGGCACAAATGGATGACTGCACTGTGGAGCAGACACACTCACCCATGCAAAGCTGACATCTCCATGGCACACCGGCATAGACACTCACCCTGGGCCCCAGTGCTAAATATCAAGCCTGGCTTCCCTGGACACATGCTAGCACACAGGTGCTGGTGTCAACCCACATACTCCACATCAGCACATATGAGCATAGGGTGCTCAGGAGCCTCATCTGGGAAGTCAGGAGGTGGTGGGCAGGATCAAGTCTGGGCTCTTGGCCTCTGGGTTCTCGCAAAAAAAAACCCTAGGAAAAGAGGCAGCAAAGAAGGGTGGGGGCAGGGAGGAGGTGGAAGGGGAGACTCCTCTTCCAGACAACAACCCTGGTCAACCCGGTGCTAGAGGGGGGTGTGTCTGTGAGGTTGGGAAATGTGTTGGGAGATTGTAGCCACGTTCAGTCCGGTCGGTGTGGGTCCGTGTGATCCCGTGTGCCTGGGCCGTGTCTGCTCAGAACGCAGAGCCTACCTGGCTTTGTGACAAGTGCGGAGAAGAGAAATGGGAAGGTGGAGGGTGAGGGGTGGAAGGACAGACCGAGGGAGGAAGGCAAGCGGGGTTGGAGCGGGGAAAACGTCAGGGCTAACACCCCGCTGGCTTGTCTGTCTGTCTCGCACTCCCTCTCCGTCTGGCGCACTCGCGGGTCGCGCTTCGTCCCCTCCCCCGTCGCGCCCGAAGCGGATCCTAGCCGGGCCTCCACCCGGCACCAGCTCATCACCCTCAGCCAACTTGCGCTGGGTGAGTGCCAGTCCTAAAGCGGGCAGTCTGTCTGTCCGCAGCCCCAAAGACGCACAAAGTTGGGACGCTCGGTGCTGGGGGCGGGGCGGGCGCCCCGAGCCCCTGGCACTCTGGGGTCTTCGCACCCGGGACCCCCGAGCTCGCTCCCAGTCCTGCACCCTTACCTTCCTAAGGAGCCACGGGCCAAAGAGCAGGAGGAGCCATTCCGGGAGCAGCCGCATCTTCCCGGGCGGCCGAGCCGGGCGCTCAGGGCGGGTCCCGGGTTGGGCTGGACCGGACGCGGAGCGCGGAGCGCGGGGCTCGGGGTGGCTGGACGGCGGCGGCAGCGACAGCGGTGCGGCCCGCGGACTGAGCGCCAGAAGCGGAGCGCGGCGCTGGGGGCGGGGCTCGGGCGGGGGAGAAAGTTGGGTCTGACTCTGGCGGCCGGGGGGGCGGGGCTCCGCGGTGCTCCAATCCCGGCCGCGCCCCGCGCGCCCCCTCCCGCCCAGCTGGGGGCACGGAAGGTGACTTTCACCCTGACACACCCGGGACACGCCCCTGGCTCAGGTGTGAAGTGGAAAGGGACTGAGGGGCGGGGGGAAGGGGGGCGGCGCCCCAAAGAGGCCAGGTCGGTGCTCTGAGGCAGGGCGTGGGGCTCCCGGCTCTCGGACTGAGCGCGGGAAGGAGCCCCGCCAGGCTCGGCGGCGCGGCAGAACCAGGGTCTCCTGAAGCCCGGGGCCCCTGTGATGCTCCAGGCTGAGGTGGGTCCCGGGGAAAGGATCCGGGCAGGGGCCGAGGTGAGGGCAGGCGGGGCCTCGGGCGACTGCTGCTGCGCGCGGCGCTGACGGGGATGGATGGGCGCCCCGCGGCTCATTCGGCCCGGAGATGAGAATCATTGATCACGGACGGAAACCCCATCACGTCTGTCAATAGGGCTGACAAACGGCGCCCGCCGCCCCACCCCCGCCCCACGGCACCTCTGCGATCTCAGGACCCCTCGGCTAGACTGGCTCTTTTACCTTTGCCCCTCGACCCCCATTGCAGACCCTTGACCGGTTCAAAGCACCCCTGCATGGGGGCTGTGCAGGAAACTCCCAGTGCCGCCTGCCCAGCCTCTTGGTGCACTCTCTGTCCTTTCCCTCCTACAGTCCCATCTTTCACTACCGCTCTTTTCATCCTGTCCCCTTCCCTGTCTGTCTCTGTCCTTGTCTCTGTCCCTAGCTCCAGCACTGTCTCTGTTCCTTCATCAGTTTCCTCCTCCCACTGGTCTCTCTCTTCCCTGCCTGGGGAGTCTTCAGCTGTCAGCTGTTGCTATGCACTGAGGCTGAAGCTGAGGTGGTGATATGACCAACATCTAGACAGCAAGAGATAGGGACAAGCAAAGGGGAGAGACAGGCCCACACCTCAAGATGAACATATGCATCCAGGCATGCCTCACATTCACAGTACCCTGCTACACTGTACAGGTGAGCATGCATACACAGAGAGCACAATATATTCATATACATACCAACACTCACAGATGTACATGTAGAAGCACACAAATACACACAGATGGGCACACGTGATTCGTACAAGCAGGAACATACAGTGACATGCATGCTTGCACCAAGAGATAATAAGCACAACCAGCTAGGTGTGCAAAGCACTCTCACCTTGCCTTGGTAGAGGCAAATGCCCATAGAGCTGGGGACAGGAACACACACACACACACACACACACACACACATGCACACCCGCACTCACAGTCCAAAAGACAAGCCCATACATATTGGAGTGTTTTATCATAGCAATAGAAAAGCAAACGGGGACAGAAACACACACACACACACACACACACACACACATGCACACCCGCACTGACAGTCCAAAAGACAAGCCCATACATATGCAAATAAACAGACACATGGGATGTGACAGACAGACAGACGCACAAAGGGTCAGAGAAAGGACAGGGATGCTGAAGGGATGAGGAAGACATGGTGACACTCAAAGAGAGGAAAAAACAGGAAACAGAGGCTTGGGTGCAGTCAGGGCAGAAAGAAGAAAGACAGAAGTGTTGGAACCAAGGCCAAATGGCCCCAAACAGAATTCAGGACTGGTCCCAAGCACAGCAGAGAGCACTCCCAGGCCTAAGGTTCCCAGGACAGAAGCCCATGACCAAAGTCCTCCATCTCTATGGGGCCTGATCCTTTCATCATTGCTTTTGCTAATCTCAGGTCATCCAGTTTTCTCCACAATTATACATGCATTCGTGTGAGCACGCACATGTGCACACCACTTATCTCTAGGTCTTTGCCTCTGTTCCTGTATCATCTCTGAATCTCTTTCATTTGGTCTGCATCATCCTGTTTCTGTTTGCTCGGTCTCTTTTTTGGTCTTTGAGACATCCTCCTACTTGGCTGGGTGGATTGTTGGATGGACTTTCCCTCCTGGTCCTGGCCATCAGAGGGAGGATGCTGATGGAAGGGTGCGCCTGCTTTCTAAGCTGCAGCTGGGGGCTGTCTTGAGGCGACAGGCAGAGAATCAGTGGCTCCCGGGGGGCTCCAGATGCACACTGGCATAGGGAGGGGCCTGAGATGATGGGACTGCTGTTGGTGGGGGGGCAGGCAGGCACTGGGGGAGGGAAGGTAGCTTGCTGGCAGAGGGTGGAGGGAGGGAAACTAGCTGGCAGAGAGTGGAGGGGTCAGTGCAAAATAGCCCTAGGGAAGGAAGTGAGAGGTTGGCCTGGGGTCTGTGACAGGTGCATAATTAGTGTGTGTTGAGGGGGCTATGTTGAGCTTCTGGATAAGCAGTTGCTACCGGAGTGTAGATGCCACCTGGTGGCCAGATAGAGACACAAGCTAACCCATCAACAAGGACACCGTTTTCCCAGCAGGGTTGCTCATGCCAAGGGGTCTTGGGAAGCCAGGAGGATCTCAGAATTGGCTTGGAGGATAAGGTTGGATATGAGATTTGGATGTGGGAAGAGAAAGGCTCTTGTTTCTGTCTAGTTCCTAAGCTTCCCCAAGGGACAGGGAGGAAGCCAGAGAGAAATATCCTGGGGAAGCTGAACCAGTGAGAGGCTGGGATGAAAAGCAGGGCTGCTTCCTTGGGAATTTTACAGGACATCTTCAGGCATTATGTTTGCTACCATGTGGAGAGTGGGGTTCTAAGCCTGCCTCAGTCAGTAAAGCTGTGTAACTTCTGCAAGAGGGTCATTGCCCTTTGGGCAGAGATTAAAGGAGACCTGGAACAACTTACGTGGTGTGTTTTCCTGGTCACCACCTGGAATGTTTGCAGTGTTTGGCAGGATGGGGCTGTTGGACTCCGATGTAAGTCTGGCAAACTGGGTCTTCCCACTGTCCTTCACTCTACCACCTCCTCCCCTCATCCAGGATTTATTTATTTATTTTTCTTTGTGAGATGTGTGTGGGCACATGTGTCTGTGTAGTTGATTCTTACCCATTTCTACATGGGTTCTGGGGATCGAACACAGGTCATCAGGCTTGCTCAGCAAGCACTCTACTGAGCCCTCTTGCTTGCCCTTCATACAGGGTTCTACTCAGAGCATCATAAAGTGAGATGTCAATGTTTCAAGAGCAACCAGGGTCAAAGAGTTGTAGGAGAGCACCCCGAAGGGCTGGAAAACCTTCATGACCCAATACACTCATTTTTGTGCTGTGGTATCTCACTGCGAGGGACAATGAAGGGCAGAGAAAGTGGGATTCAGAGGACAGGATAACGTAGTGAAACAGAGCTCCAGGTTAGAGCCAGAGGGACACGAGGTCCAACAACGGTGAGTCATAGGCTCAAGGTCACACAGCGAAGAAAAGCAGGTCTCCCCTGCTATAGCAAGACTGGGGTTGGAGTGGACCAGGGAAAGCTCAGGTTTGCCTCCAGGATGGTGCAGGGCTCTCTCTGGTGGCTGAAACAGCAAGCACAGTCCCATCTCCCGAAGTCTCATAGGCAGACACAGTGGCTTCTTTCTTTTCTTTTTTTTTCTTTTTTTTTTCTTTTACAATTTTATTTATAACAATATCTGTGTTATTTAGTTGTAAAGGAATTCAGCAAAAATTATTAAAACGTTCATATCCCCAAAATGGGGCTGCCCACTTGCCCTTCCTTGTGATGTGCCCCAACTCTTCCTGGTCCCCAGGGGAGGCTGGGGGACAGTTACCAAAGAGAGTGTCCAGCCCTGGGAGCCACACTGGGGGCACTGGAGAGGAGAGGGCCTGTCTGGGAGGGATGTTGATAGTAGCCATCTCAGAGATGCCCCCTAGAGTAGGGGAACTGGGGCTTGGGATGCCTTCCCCTAAGAACTAAAAAACTCCATTCTTTCCTTCCTACCTCAGCCAGAGCCAGATCTTCCAGAGAGAGGGAACAGAGAATGCTCCTCTCCAGAAGCAGCGCCTGGGGAGCTGAGGAGGGGAAAGCTGGGGCAGGAGCCTTGGCAAAGTGTCTTGCACAGGGTGAAGGCTATACCACCAACTCTCAGGGATTGCATTTTGGTGGGAATGTAGGAGGTGGGCTCCCTCATATTGTTGAGCCACAGGGGTCCCAGAGCCTTCCCTTCCCCCTCAAAGACAGCATGGGGGGGATGCTGAGGAGCAGGCAGGAAGGAGAATGGAAGAAGATAATACTGTGCTCGCTTGCTCACTCACATATAAAAAGTAATTCCTTCATTTTTACATTTATACATCCGGCAGAGCCAGCGAAGGGCTGGCTGGGAAGGGGGCTCATTGAAGGATTTCTCTGGCAGGGGCTCTCTGGGGGAAGTCCATTAGGGCAGGGCCCTATGCCAAGGGGTCCCCTATCTCATCCTCAGGGCCCCGGCCCAGGAGTTCTCGCTTCTCATCGGTGCTGGCCAGGGAGTGGCGGCTGCCATGCCCCCCCATATAGAGTGTGGCATACACAGGGTTGGTGAAGTTGGTAGGCTGCAAAACAAAAGAGGGTTCAGATGGTGGCCCAGGGTACCCTAGCCCCCACCTCTGTGCCATCATCCAATCTAACACCCTTGGTTGCCCACCCACAGCCTCTGGACCCTGCTCTGGAAGCCCCTCTAATGTCTTCCTCCAGCCTACCTTGTCAGGGTCCAGGGCAAAGTCGGCATCCAGCAGACCCCCAACATCATCAGGCTCTCCCCCCTCATACATCTTGTAGGTAGGGTTCCCAATCTCCACATTCATGGCCCCATTGGTCATCCGCTGGTGCTGGAAGCCTTTAGCTCTGAGGAGAGGCAGGAGTCAGAGGACCCAGATGTTTGTGGGGGCAGGGTATTGGGTTATAAAATAACAGTCAGAACTTTCCAGACTCCCAGTGGGCTCACCCTCGGACTCGCCGCTTATACCAGAATACTGCTCCAGCCACCAGAAGCAGCATCAGCAGCAACAGCAGAGGGATTAGGATGGAGGCCATATCTG